GTATTAAGGTTTTATTTGTGGTAAGCCAGTCTAAGAAATGTGTATTTTGACTTCCAAAAGGTGGTGAAAATAAACAGAAATTCATTTTGAATTGTTATCCTTCTTTCTTACTTGAAGACAAATGCATGGGACTTGATCATTTTTTTTTTATTTTTGAATTATTATCCTTCGTTCTTACTATTGATCTTAAATTTATCAATGTTTCTTCTCAATTTGTTTTCTTTTTCATCTCTGGTCCATTGATGTCGATTACATAATGGGAGGTAAATCCCCGTGCATAGTGAAAGGTAGGGATTTGATCCCAGGTCCTTGGAGTGACTACAAAATGCTTTACTAGTTGGTTCAGCTGACACCTTCTCAATTTGTTTTGCCCTTGGGTTTTTCTGTTTGAGTTACGGCCGTAACTATGAAGATTCAGAAATCTTCTCTCTTTATTTAATTATTTTGTTTGAGAGTAGAGGAATATTTTTCTCTTTATATCATTTTGTTTGATGTAGAAATCCATTATGTATGTCATTCAATATATGTATTTTTATCTGTGCCTCTTTTTGGTTTCAACGTATCTATTGTAGAGCTTTATGTTATAGCCAGAAAAAGTGGCGTATTTTGATGTTCGAACTTCCAATTTCCACCTAATTCTTGCAGATGCTTCCAACTCCCAAAGATATAAACTTTGTTGGTTACACATACAAGAACTTTGATGCTGTAAAAGAAGGGCTTCGTCAGTCTTTTGGTATGTAATATAACATCACAACTTTTTATTTCGTGTATAAGATTACATAGTTGAGAATTTAGTGGTTACATACTGTGGCTATAAGGAATTGTTGTTCTTGCAAGTCAGCGTCCTTGTATTCTTTCAATGAACATATGCATGTCAAACTGAATTTTTGTAATCATTTCCAACCAGTCTTGAGCTTGCTGGGTCAAACTAGTAGCAATGTTCCTGAATAATATACTGGCATAGGGATCAAAATGGTATTGCGGGAAGGAGCCTAGAATCAGCACTTATGAAATTCAAGTTTAGAAGCACTAAATTGGGATTGGCATGAAACAATTTAAAGGAATCTTAAAGAAGAAAAAGAACTATACCAACCCAACATTTATCAAGCTTGAATTTATTCATGATCTAGCAATTTGCAGGTGATTACATGCAAGATTATACTTCTAAACGGGCAGCAGAGGAAACAGGTTTACAAATGCTCGCGTCATCTGGAGATCCCATGTTACCATGACTTGAACTTAGTGCAAATTGAAGCCGATCGTGTTGAGTTTATATGCACCTGCTTTGGCTTTAAATATTTGGCCAAAAACATCTTTTATAGTACTTCAATTCCCATGCCATTTGCAAGAACAATGTGTACAGCAAGTAGTTGAACGGCATTGTCAGAGCTTGTAGGGCAACACCGTGTGTGTATTTGAATTTTCAAATTAGGAACTAAGAGTTGTGCAACTGAGTGCTACTGTCCTCGCTGCCCAGGTTGGCTGTGGAAAACATGCCTTCTCTAGTGGCAGTTGCTGGTTAAATGTTAGTTATGGACAAATTACTGAGGAACTAAGAAGAAAGCATCCTGATAAAGTTATTCGATGTGATGTGTACATTTATTGGAAGATAGAAAAAACTTAACTATAAAAGAGAGACTCTTGGAGATGGATTATGAATATTGTCTTTAGCTGCTCAGTTTCCTTTGCCCTTTACCTTGTACCTATTTTTTTTGTGGGAAAAGTGCAATTACTGAAGTCATCCTGATTGTCCTGGTCACTGTCTAATGCATGAATGAATACAAGCAACTTTTTGTTAATTGCCCCATCCCCCCCTGTACCAATCTTCATATGACACCCATAAGGATTGAGCTTGAAGCGGATAGCCATCCATTTGGAGGTCTGTTTATCCACCGTGATTTCTTTGCATTTTTTGAAAAAAATAAATAAAGAAATCTCGCCTATTTTAGGCTTTTTGGTGGTTAAGAGAGGAGATACCATCTTCAAGAGAAATGTATGGTTGAGACTCGAGATGCATTAAAGACAGAAATCACCTCGTCATCAAGAACGTCAATTGTATCTTTTTCTAAATTCTAAATTCTAAATGGCGACTACGTCAATGCTTGCTCTGTATGAAGTAAACTCCTGCTTGACTTCTTGATGATAATAGGCACCAAAATGATTGGTTTAAATATATTTTGGCTCTTATGTAACATATTATCATATTGGATCTAAAATGAAAAAGGGTTTTCATTTTATCTTTATAGTACAATAATTTTCAAATTTATTTGTGTTGTTTTGTTGTTGTAATAGAAATTAAATTAAAAATGACAACACATAAAGATACAAAAAATAATATTTTTGTGGAGATTTGTGGCTAGCACAAAACGAATTATTCTTTTCCCTTTATTAAAAACATATATGTAGATAATATTTTTATCTTTATATGCGATATTTAATTTTAATCCGATCGTTACAGTTTTTTTATGTTATATCTTTACTAGTATAATAATATTTGATCTAGATAAATCACAATAGGCCCACAAAAGGTTAAAGTCCACAAGAGGTCCAGGAATATACAGATCCAATGAAATGCGCAACATTTCCATCGCGCATAAAAACCCGAAGGCGCAATGGTTTCATTGTGCCTAGCCGCCTTATATGACTTAAAACTTAAGGAATGATCCAATAATAAACTAAGAACCACCGCGCTGTAAACCAATACACGAAAGACAACTCCAGCTTGCCACCTACTCTAAGAAGGCAACCCATCATAGGAGTATAGCTAGAAAAGCACAAGAGACAGATAAATCTGCAGTCCAGGAACAGCCAATTAGAAGGCACACCGCCTACCAAAGACGACAAGAGAATTGCTATATAAGCCAGAGATATATACCCATGTACATCTATCTAATTCTAGTAAGATCATAACATAAGCCAACTCTGATATTGACTTAAGCGTCAGAGTGTCATTGCAATTTGCAGGTACCCCAGCCAGAGCCATTGATCCAAAGGAGCTTAGCATCAAAGCAAACATAATCAGCACCAAACTCAAAGTCCATATTGGTCAGCCCATATTGTGTTGGAGTGATCAATATTAATAAACGGTAAGAAGTATATTAAAAACAATTGTATGTATAAACGTTTAATTTGTTTTTTATTTTTTAAGAACCAAACAAAAATAAGAGTATTGTATAAAGGTGAAAGGAAATATGAACCAAAATAGTTTTAACTGTCGTTATCTATGCACATAAATTTTCCAAATTCGTGGATGATGAAAGTAACGATGGGACGCCTTTTTAGTCGTGGGAGTCCTATTTCATTGGTGGGACATCCTTTTAATAAACACATGAATTCTAACATCATATGTGACGAAATGTCTCACCCTCCTGCAATATACACTTTCCAATAAAAATGTTAAATGGTTAATTATTTCTTTATCTTTTTGGTTTGAAGATGTCAAAAGCATAACAGCCAGTGAAAGTAACTAAACTAATTTCAATTCAATCTTTTTTTTTTTTTTATAAACCATGTATATCCTTCATGCGAGGAAATTCTTTGGGATATATTTAGTGTTAAGATTTTAAATTCTTTCTAAGATGATATTAAAAATGATCGAAGAGATACTTTTATATTTACCTGCTTAACTTTAATGTAACAACTAAACTATCATATCATCATTTGTTATTTCAATTCAATCTATGGTCATATTTTATAATTATATAGCGTTTTCTTTTATTTGGAATGCTGACTTCATAAAGCTGAAGATGACAATACGTCATAAACAAAATAGGTGATGAATTTAAAAAAATAGGTGATGACTGTATGAATTTTAAATTCGTAAAATAGAAATAGGTTTACACTAACTACTCTCAGCTAATAAGAAATGAGATACTGATAATTGACGAACACATAAATTGATGTGGACTTTGAAGGGCGAAAAAATAAAAAAAATCCCGGGATCGAAGTCAACTTTGGAAATTGCCATTCGAGTGAAGAGTTTCTATTTCCTTTTTTCAGTGAAAGGTCTTTTCCGAATTTTAAGAGTGTAATAAGAGCAAAACAAAGCAGCAATAAAATAGTTTATAAAATCGGGAGAAAATATTATGTGTATTTTTTTTATGGGATAATTATACTTATTATTATTTTAAATTTATTATTTTTATTATCTGATTGATTATCGTTGGATAAATTTAAAATTAATGATTAAAAAAAGAAAAAAAATTAACTGCAGTTGATTTCAATTGATTCAATGATAATTAATCAGATAATAAGAATAATAAGACCACTGATGTGGAGGAAGAAGACTTGGTCTTAGCTAAAATTTGAAAATTAGTTACATTTTTAAGGTGACTAAATAACCTTCCACGTTTTGGTATTTGGCATCAGTTAATTTTTTTTTTTGGCGCTAGCTGGTTTGGGAAGTTAGCTTTGTTACTCAGTAAATTTAAAATAATAGTTAAGTATAATCTTCTCCTTTTTTATAGTTATTTTTTTTCATATTATTATATCATTATCTTAATCGACTTTACTTTTTTTTCTTTCCTCACTCTTAATTAGAAGTAAAAAAAAGTATGTATGACGAAAAAATAAGATAATTATATAATTAGAATAATATTTCTCATGTTATAAGAGATAAATTTTATCTCTTACACACACATAAAAATATAAAAAACCGATATTTTTTTTATCTATTCTCTTCCCTCACATAATCTCACATATTTTTTTATATATATATATATAAGAAATAAATATTTATATATATATATATATAAAATAAAATTATTTCCTAAACACATTAATCACATTATCTATTCCTATAAATAACAAAACATAGTGCACTGTTACATTACACGGTATGATTCGTATTTAGAACAAATAAAAATAGGTGGAGATCGATGAGAAGTGAAGTGAGCGTAGCGTGGAGATGGATGAATGGGTGGAGTTTTGACATGTGTCCCAACTTCATTGTCCCTCGACACTTATACTGTCTTTTTTTTTTTTTCTCTTCTGTTCTAAATTGCCCATTTCTCTTTTCAAACTATATTTCTTTCTTTCATTAGAAAGTTTCATTTTTTTTTTTGGTCATTATTTCTCTTTCTTCTCCACTCTTTGTTCTCACACCCACATCAATACCCAGCCAGGTATGCACTTGTATATCACATCGTATGGACGAAAAGAACACAACAGAGCTGTTATTTTTATTACTTAAATGGTTAGGATTAAGGAAAGCACATGTCTTGTTTTTTTTGGTTGATTCTTTGTTCCTTCTCCAATCATGGGTTTCAGGTGTCAAAGTTAGAAGACAAGACAGTGAGAACAGAATAGAAGGAACAAGAAGACTCTACACGGTTCACAAAATTAGGTAGTGAATCCTTTTTTCTTCTTTTAACTTTCTTCCTTTCTTTCATTCCTTTCTTTCATTCATTCAATTTTGTAATTATTATTATGGGACGAGGCTGAGATGCGTTGCCTCAGATCCAGGTAACTCGTGGTGTTATGTGTAAAAAAGGCTGTCATCTTTTTAGGGCTTCCTTGTGATTCTTGACACTTTGATTTTCATGGGTTTCTTTCTCATGACCTTTCTTTCTTGTGTTTAGAAATAATGAGTGTTGTTTTTTTTCTCTCTCTCTCTCTATTATTTTTGTGGGATTTAATCTTTTTTTTTATGCCTTTTTTTTTTTTTTTTGCAGATAAAGTTTGTTTCTTTCAAACTATTTCTTTCTCACTAGAGTTGACGAAGGTAGACAGAGAAGAATTGAGAGAAGAATATGATAATGCTTGAAAAGGGTGTAGCCTAGCTATTTTATGGTTAGAGTTTCCACAAATGGAAGTTCGGATCCGTTGTTGTTGACCAGATCTGACTACTCCCATTTCACTTTCACCACCTCTTAACTATAACCATGCTTTGCATAAGTTGAATTTGCCTCCTCCCTTGGTCTTATCGTGCATCTTAGACATGGAAAATCTTATTTTAAAATCCACGCTATTCCTGGATTGTTTTCAATTAGAAAAGTAGGTGATAAATTACTTGAAATATGACAGTTTGTGTGATATCAGAAGGGTGCAAGGGTAACTTTTTGTGCTACAAAGACAAGGATTTTGATGGAGGAGATGTCGACCACTGTTGCAGTTCCATTAAGAGTAGGTAATTCAGTGTGTGATAAACCAACCATAGCTACCCACATGGATGTATCCAGACTTAAGCTGATGGCAGATGCTGGATTGTTATCTAATTCTATAACTAAGGTTTCCAATGAGACTTTTATAGGTTCTGATGAGGATCATAACGGTGGCAATCTGGAGGATGATGTTGTTATTACAACAGTCACGCCACCAAAACAGAGAAGAGAAGGAGAAATTCCTTTGTTGGATATAATATCCCAAAACATAAGCACTTCGGTTGTTGGTGATGAAGTGTTAACCCCAGAAATTGAGGAGGATGATTCCTTATCATTGGAAGGTGATCCAATTATTGATAACTCTTCTCTTTCAATAGCCAGTGAGAATAGTAGTGTCTGCGGAGATGAGTTCCTCAGTTCCGACTTTACTTCAGATTTTGGGACCACAAGTTCCATAGATATAGACAAGAGCATCTCTGCTGTCAAAATTATTGCCAGGGCTGCTGATTTGGGTGAGTCAAATGTTGAGGCAGATATTATGAGCGAACCCCTTGCTGTAGCAGTGAGCCTTGAAGAAGAGACAGGAATTAGATCTGGTCCAAAGCCTACTACTGTTTTTCTTCATCAGATACCTCTGGAAAAAGGGGTGAGTGGTATATTTGGTCGGAGTGTTTTTGAATTGGATTGTACCCCCCTTTGGGGATTTACATCAATGTGTGGAAAAAGGCCTGAGATGGAAGATGCAGTTGCAACTGTACCTCGATTTTTTAAAATTCCTATCCAAATGCTAATTGGTGATAGGGTGCTTGATGGAATGAACAAGTGTTTCAATCAGCAGACAGTTCATTTCTTTGGAGTCTACGATGGCCATGGTGGCTCTCAGGTAAAGTTTGATCTTGTTTTTAATGTGATTCTCGTGTCAAATGATTTGTATTTTTCTGTGGGTAGCGCTTCATATTGAGCTTGCTTTCCTCATTCAGGTGGCAAATTATTGTCGTGATCGGATACATTTGGCCTTGGCTGAGGAACTAGAATTTGTCAAGGAAGGTTTAATAGTTGGAAATGCCAAGAATGATTGTCAAGATCAGTGGAAAAAAGCTTTCACCAACTGTTTTTTGAAGGTTGATGCTGAAGTTGGGGGGAAAGTGAATTGTGAGCCTGTTGCCCCAGAAACTGTTGGATCCACTGCTGTTGTTGCTATTATCTGTTCATCTCATATCATAGTTTCAAACTGTGGTGATTCAAGAGCGGTTCTGTGTCGTGGCAAAGAACCCATGGCGTTATCTGTCGATCATAAAGTGAGCTACCTCCAATTTTTGTTTTGCTTTTCCTTTGAAATTTTAAAGTTTTAACTGAGTAGAAGAAATTGGTGTCTGATTGTTATATGGTAGCCAAATCGAGATGATGAATATGCAAGAATTGAGGCAGCTGGAGGCAAGGTGATACAGTGGAATGGTCATCGTGTATTTGGCGTTCTTGCAATGTCAAGGTCTATAGGTATGTACTTAATCATAAACTTCAGTTTATTTAGGTGTTTCTATTGTTCAATAGTTTGAGTGTCATGAAAGTCTTTTGGTGAGCGTGGCTGATTACAAGGACTTTCTTTTCTCAACGCACTTCTTGTTAGTATCTTAGTTTATGAATGGAAAAAGTGGACACCAGTTGCATTGCCTATGTATGTAATCTAATCTCTGATAGAAATGATGTCCATATCAGTTTGTGAAAGTTACTTTTAGAGTCTTGTATATCACTTATTGCATTAGATGCAATTTTGAAGTAGGAGCCCTACTGCCTCCCCTTATGCTGCAACTTTCTGTGTTGAACAGGGATATATAACTATGATTGGCTAGAGTTTGTGGCTTATTTTTCGTGGTGATTAATTAAATGGAATATTGAATAATGTGAATTATGGAAACTGTGTATGGTTCTGTGGTTTGTTTATGATCTTGCTTTGAAGGCCTTATGGAAATCGGATTTCTCTTCATTGCATGGTAATGAGGTTGCTTGTCCTTGCAAGTTGCAACTGAGACTAGTACAATACATGCATGGGTAGTTGAGCTGAAACTGTTTCTGTTTATCGTTGTTGCAACTTGCAACTTTCAGGGGATAGATATTTGAAGCCATGGATTATTCCAGAACCAGAAGTTACGTTTCTTCCCCGTGCAAAAGATGATGAATGTCTGATTCTGGCCAGTGATGGTTTGTGGGATGTCATGACGAATGAAGAGGCGTGTGACTTAGCTCGGAGAAGGATACTTATCTGGCACAAGAAGAATGGCTTGACACTATCCTCAGAAAGGGGAGAGGGAATTGATCCTGCTGCTCAAGCAGCTGCAGAGTACCTGTCAAACCGTGCTCTTCAAAAAGGAAGCAAAGATAACATCACTGTGATTGTGGTGGATTTGAAAGCTCAAAGAAAATTTAAGAGCAAGACGTGACCGTTTCTTCAACTGAATATGATCCAACATAGTTTTGCCCATTAATTTTTCATCTGGGCATCTCTTGGCTTGAGAGTAGAATCCTGTAATATAATAGAGATCCCTCTCTTCCTTAGAATTCTCAAATGACTAAGAGAGTCTCCTTGTACACTGTGCCGCATTGGGGATATGTAAAGCTTAGCTGCTCATTGTAGGTATAGGAGACCAGTTTCATCCATGCCTTTGACATCTGTCAGCATGTTGTATTCATTATTATGCCTCCGAGAACAAAGGCTCTGTGAGGCATTTACTTCATATTATTTTAGCATGTGTTGTTTATAAAAAAGTAGTAGCAAATTCGCATTGTGACTTACAAGTTGTGATCAACTGTCTTTGTCTTTCCTTATAGTAATAGTGTGTGTACATGTGCTTATCATGGTTTTCCCACTGAATACTGAGAGTAAACTGCTTTTCTTTACCTAGTTCTGGAATATTTCCCAGCATTCAGGTTGCCCAATTCTCAACATGCTTGCCAGTTCACCAATTCTTTTACAAGGAAGATTATTTACTTTAATATGATTGAACTAAATTTGTTCATCGCCATGATTGATGACTCCATAAATATCCAAATGTTGCAGTTCTGATCTCATTGGCGTGAGCATTAAGACCAACTAAAGGTCCTACGTGTCTGGCATGTTTTGCAATAAAATAAAACTGAAACCGTCCCGGCAAAGGTTGTCATTAAATTCTACATAAATAGAACACCATCCCCGGTTAAGTTTTTTTTTTTAATAAATTCTTAAATTAATCTTTTAAATATTATCGTGTTATTGCATCAATATTCTAAAAATGATACTAAACTACTTTCTTAAAATATATAAATAATTATCAAATTCATCTTTTTGCCTCACAACCTTATTTCCATTTAAGGATGTGATAAACATTATGAATCTATAAAAGATAAATGTTGTTGCATCATAGTTTTTTTAGAAACTAATTTAGGAGTTTTTTTTTTTAAGCATGAACTTATGTGTAAGAATTTTATTTTTTGGAGTTGTGTTATTGTTTTGTGGACACAAGACAAGAAATTATAACTTCGATCAATGTAAGCATAAGATTAAGTATGAAATCAGGTAATTTTTATTTATAGATCAGCTCAAGATCTATGTTCAGCAGTAATACAGTAACATTGACAGAGTGAAGAAAGTCAGAATCACCACCACAATCATTTTATGGAAATACATGCTAAATCCATGGCCTAGTATTTCCTGTATGCCAACTCCTTCACAGCATCAGCAAGTGTATTCTCATTCCGAACGCTCTGAACCCAGTTTGCATTGATATTAACCCGCTCAAGGCTCTGCTTTAACGTTCTAGCAATGGCGGGATTAGCATGGCTAGCAAAGAATTCCTCTACTTCCTTGGCCTTCTCAAAGGAAGCAAACTGCACCAAGGGAAAACAAAATAAAACACAATGAAGAATTATAATTGAACATTACACAGTGTGTTGAGAAAATCAACAGAATAAAACTATAAAGCAAGGAGGGACAGGAGACAAACCGGTGAGACAACAGAACTGACAAAGCGAGATAACAAAAATCCAGAACCATATGTTTTTACGATGCGTTCCCAATTTTCCTGTATAACAATTAAGAGAACCGTAAGAGAATGTCGATAGAATGGGAACAAGGTTTAAAAATAAAAGTATATGTATATCATGTTCTTCATCGCAGTTTTTTCTTCAAAATCAAGGCCTGGAATAATAAGAAATGCATCGATAGACTGAAAACAACATTGCAATAGGTAACGAGAAAGCACGTAGTGAACTTTAGCATGCTATCTAGGCTGCTTAGTAAGAGATAAAACAGTAGCATGTAAAAGCACCAAGACATATGACATGCAATGTTACCAAAGAATTTAAGTAGATGGTTGGGCTAATTCTCAATTAAGACCCCAGCTCCACGACCAAGTGTTCTCCAAATAGCAATAAACACAAAAATGAAACTTTGTCCAATGAACCCAACTAAAACATTGATCAATTTCAAAAACCTTGAAGGAAACTAAAGTTGATAAAACTAAAATATGAAATCTACACAAGACTTCATTTCAATTTAATGTGCTTCACACTTCATATGACTACTGGTTCTGTGTTGTTTACCTTAAGCCATGCCCAAGCTACGTCTCGTCCTTCCCGACTAACAGCAAGCCCAAAAACAGCATCTTGACTACGAACCTTGACCAAATATAACGACATATCAATCTCCAATATATGTATCATATATATTATAATTTGTCAACTCGTGTATGTATTTGTATTCTGGCTTCAAATAATATTTGACAATTAGATACCTCGGGAGACAACATAAAGTTAAGAGCTTCAAGAATTAGATCTGGATCGGGTGAAGAAGCCAGTGAGCCTACAAGCATGGAAGATATTAGCATCCAGACCCAGAAAAAGATGAAATGCCCTCATGGAAGATTAGAATTAGAGATTGATCGAAAAGCAAGAATATGGGCTCGTGTGAGTAGGAAACAGAAAATATCTATTCCAGTTCTATCATCAGCTATGGGTTATGTCATTACCCAGAATGCGTGTTTTCTCCTGGCTTAGGTCAGTTTCCCTATATACTTTCAGAAGAGATTCATAACCCACTTGGTTAGATTTGCTTGCCCGTTGCATTACAGCCACATATGTTGCCTGCCAACATTTCACAATAATCATCAACAGAAGAATTCATTGGGAGATTTCATGCATTCAAATGATGCTGCAGCCAACCTTTCTTATATCAGGGGGAAGAAGTGGTGTATTTCTGTCTCCTACAAATGCCTGAAAACGCTTGCTTGCTTCATCCAGTGTCAGATCATGTCCAAACACAGCAAGGGCAGTCAAAATTTCTCCTCTCAACATTGCATCAAGATGACTTTCTCCTGGTTTGGGCTCCCAACCAAGCCTCCTGCAAGGCAATATCAATAGGGAATAAGAACTTGAACCAGAGACGTCAAAGAAACTAATAAAAACATAGTTAATCTTGACTCCATGCACGGACACGTTGGCATCTCTTTTAGGTTATCCAAATTCTCCAATATCTTTATCCGCACTACTATCAGCAACCTCACCATATACAAACATGATTCCTAGCAGAGACTGCTAACTCCATATATTTGCACATACCTTTCCAATCACCATGCAATGCTATAGGAATGTAACAGCAGAGCTACTCTAATAGCCATAAATTCTTATTAACTGAAACACAATCCTCCCAGGATCAATGAATGTAACAACTTACTCAGCAGAGTACTGGAAAAGGTTAATAAAGAATTGCTTAAAATAATCTAGCAAGTCCGGTACTGCATCAGCTGCAATACGTTCAATTTTATGACTTATCTGTAAAACAAAAGACTCGGAATTAGATCCAATAAATAACCTAAATAATGACTGAGCAAGATTTAGAAGAAAACATTACAGTAATCAGGTTCGACACCACAGTATAATCAACTTCCTCCCTGTAAGCTCCCATCAAGTTAATCAAGGAGGTCAATGATTCTTGGCGAGCCATACATAGTGCATATAAATCATCCAAAATGCCTGTCAAAGTCATAACTTGCAAGTTATTGCTTTTTTCCTTTTTTACCATTAGAAATAAATTGTCAAGAGGTTATCTAATTTACCATATCGGTCTGATGCAGATAAGAGTTGTTTCTCTATTGCATGTCTAAGTCTAGCTGCAAGCAGCTCATCATATTTCACCCTGTAGAAACCAGCTTGCTCCACATTAAGTTTAACCCAAGAATTCACACTTTTGTCTTCAGCAATCCGGGAACCCAAGAATTCTTTAACATCAAGTGTTTCAGATTTTGTTTCCAAGAGGAAATTTTTGGAGACATCATACGAGCCAAAGCATAGTGTTATTGGAACAATCCAATGGCCTTCTCCTTGAGCACCACTTGACAAGAATTGTGACTGCCAAGAAACATACAAGTTTACAAGTTACAATACATGTAATGGATTTTCTCTCCGAAAATATCATAACAAAGAACTCATGAAAAAGTCAGATACAATGGAAGAACCTGAGTAAACTCCAATTTCTGGTCATTGACTTTAACAGATACAACAGGATATCCCTTCTGCTTTGTCCATGAGGTCATTAACTTGTTCACAGGTTCACCAGATCCTTCCTCAAGCGCAGCCCATAGATCCTCAGTCTTAGCATTCGACCAAGCATATTTTTTTATATATGAAGCTAGTGACCTCTGGTTACATGACAAGCAATGTATAATTTGATCACAAATAATGCTATATATAATAACTCAGCCATATTTTACATGTAATTTAATATAAAAAGATTCTAAATACATACTTTTTAAAAACTTTCACATCATAATATTGATGGGCCCTTGAGGCCTTTCAAAGTGGTATATAAGAGGAAGGAGAGCTGAAGTGGGAGGGGGAAAATAATAAACTGATGGTGAAAGAGGATGAATGAGGGAAGTTAGTTACTGGCGAAGCCACGTGGCAAGCTCTGAATGGAGGGGGGAAAGTGGGAATGGCGTGGACAGGAGGAATTGAGGAAGGAATATAAGGTAGTTATGGTGAAGGAAAGGGGCATGCAGAAAGAGACCAAGTAATGGGTATGTTGGCTGCTAAGTGGGGTGCTCATTAGCTAGGAAATCTGGGCTATCATTGAGTCGTCTTCCTTTCCAAGACAGATAGTCAGTAGGCTACGTTACAATGCTATTGTTTCCTCTGTTATGTTAATTTTCTCTTATTTCCACATTGCATTGTGAGATACCGTGTAATTCACATTTCAGTTGATTAAGCTGTAAGGAGTTCACCTCCTGTGCGTTATTTTGTTATTTTAATTCAAGTGTTTGTGTTCTGGTTCTTGCATTTACTGGTACCATCAAATATGAAGCGCATCTGTCTATGACTTATTTGAGTTCAATGTAAAATACCTTAACTATCTTATATATGACAAACTAAATTGTGCAACCTACTCAGCCTACCCAATTAAATACATAAAACCAAAGTCAATCAAGTTGAGAGAAAACTCTCTAACAACTCACAACAATAGTTTACTAATGCCATGTATAGCCAATATAATTTAATATCCTTATATGAACTACTTATGCCACGAATAGCAAATATAGTTTATTATTCTTATCTGAACAGTTCACTGGAGGTTCCTATTTCATCTATCAAATTTGGCATTGAAAATATAAGTCTTTTTGTAAGTAGTAAGCGGTAAAGTACTAACCTGAAAGGGTTCGGCACCAAGATAGCTTTGTAGCATCCTGATTACAGATGCACCTTTTCTATAACTTATGGCATCAAATATTTCATCAATCTCGCGAGCATGATTTACCTCCACCTGCAATCATAATTCACAAAGATTAAAATACACTATAAACTTACAAGACTATTAACTTTTCAGCTGAGGATTAACAAAATGTTCAATTTATTTATATAGGGCAAATCCTAGTGCACAAGGCTCCCCGATTTTGCAAGAATAGGGGTGAGAGTCGATTGTATGTATCTTTACCTTTACATTTTTGCAAAAAGACTATTTCCCAGACTCAAACCCATACTTTTTGGTCACAAAGGAGCAACCTTACCACTGCTCCCAGGCTCGCCCTCTTCAATTCATTCATATACTTTCAAAAATATCTTATAAATATAGTAATTGATATTATATAATAAATAATTACATTGCATATAATTAATCAGCATAAACACCTAGAGTACGATCAAATTAGCCAAATCCATTATCCGAGGCAGATTAAACCCATGAAAAACTGAAAGATTAAACAATACCTCAATTGGGTGGGATTCTGCAAGCCCATCCAACCTAAGACCCTCGGTAGATTCATCAAGAAATTGAGACCATATTTTCCACTCAGGAAACAAGCCATCAGCTGCTAAATAGCTCACCTGACCATAACCAAAGATGAGAAGAAAAAGAAGAAAGTAAACTATCAATTAGTTATAACTTCAAAAATAAAAAAGCAAAAAAATTAACAAGCCTCTGCAATGGCAACAATACGAGGATGTACAAGCCACACAACTTACCCATGTTGCAAAACCCTCATTCAGCCATAAATGTGTCCACCACTCCATTGTAACAAGATTGCCAAACCACTGGTGTGCTAGCTCATGAGCAACAACAGTCGCAACCTTAACAGAAACCAAAGAAATATTTTTTGTCCTTCAGCTAGTAATAAAATAACTAGTTAAGAAATTCAGATTAGGAAACTCAAGTTGCCAAGGCTAAAGCAACTTTATGGATAAGCAGACTACCCTTTGTTTGTTAGCGGCAGCAGAATGCTGATCATCATAGAGCAAAGCAGTCTCCCGGTATGTAACCAAACCATAATTCTCCATGGCTCCAGCAGCAAAATCAGGGATTGCAATCATATCCAATTTTGGCAGGGGGTAGGGAGTGGCAAAGTAACTGTTAAATTATCATATTTAGTTGATGAATGAATAATACAATGCAGCATACCTATAAATACAGTCAAGCAAACAGACTAACATGAAGATTAACATATATATATAATCCACCATGGATTATCCACTTATCTTGCCACTGTGAACCTGAATATGAAGGATGACGAGAAGGCAGCACTTTGGAAGCCATATCAACCACTAAAGGATTTCCTGAACCATAAACTTGTAGGGTGTAAAGAATCACTTCAACCCAAAACCTTAAGGCGTTGGGTGAGGGCCTTATTATTCTCTAACACACTCCCTCACACAAGAGCCCTTTGGGCTTAAAGTGTAGATATTGCACAGGCTCTTCTTCTTTTTTTGGTTTACTTTGTGCTTATTTAAATTCCACTCGAAAGTGAGGATTGAACTCGTGACCTTGTGGTCACTGAAGCTCTGATATCATGTAAATAATTACTTTAACCTAAAACTTTAAGACGTTGGGTGAGGGCATTTTTTAATGGTTTATATTATTCTCTAACATAGGGAGAGGATAGGAAACCAAACTTTACCTGGAAACCTACATGGCAGCATGATGTCCGAGTCCAAGCCTCCTTCCATAAATTGAATTATGGTCTAAGATCAAATTATTACAGCCAATAATTTAAAGAGAAGACGAAAGTACTTTTGTTGGCAAAAGATCTATATGACTCCTCAAGCTTCTCTCACCTGCTTGCAGTGAACGTGTTATTATATCTTGCGATTTTTCTCTTGTTTTATCTGTCACGCTCCTTGAGTAAAGTCATTGTGACTTGAGACCCCTCCAACAAAAAAAGCAAAATTCTCATGTTCTGCGCCCCCATGTGAATTAATGGAATTGAAAAGAAATGTTCAGAATTATTTCTAAACAAAGGAGATGAAGTTTGGTAAAGAGGAACAAAAATATAGAAGAGAGAGAAAGCTGACTTCTGAATGTTGAGATTTTGTATTCAATAACGAATATTTTACATGAGGGTGAGCCTTGAAACAATGGCAAGGTTGCTTCTTGTGACTAGAAGACCATGGATTGAGTCTGGGAGACCGTCTCTTTGTAAAAATGCAAGGGTAAAAAGTTGTGTACAATCGACCCTCACCTCTACCCTCACAAGCCGGGGATCCTTGTGCACCATGGTTTGCCCTTTTAAGGAATGAGTTTACACATTGAGAATTTACAGACTCAAGCTAATAGCTCTAATTAAATCTAACCAGTTATATTAGGTGTGACTTACAAAACTAGTCATAGCTGCAATAGCAATGACTACTAAGACTAACAGTGTCCTAACAATAACAATACATCAAAGTGTAAACATCCAGTTCCAAATGCTTTGTTCATGAGTGCAGAACTGGGTTATAGACCAGAGCAACTGCGCTATGATTGTCACATTGTATGATAGGCACTATGCTTGGGACTTGTAGCTCTAGTAAAAGGGACTATACCCAACGAATTCTTTGCAGTTGTAAGAGCAAGGTTTCAATACTCAACCTCAACACTAGACCTTGCCATTATTGACTGCTTCTTGGACCACTAGGATAGAGCCTACGAAGAGGCAAGCACCTGAAGTGGATCTTCTGTCATCCCCAATCAGCGTCACAAAAAGCCACAAGGGGGAGAGGCTGTTTTGTGGAGGTGGGATGGAATAAAAGGCCATGTGACAATGTCCTCTTTAGATAACGTAGGATACATCTGACTATCTTCCAATGCTCTAAAGGTTGAGATAAAAATTGGCAAACCTTGATCACACTAAAGGCAATTTCTGGTTGTGTCAAGGTGACATACTGAAGTGCTCCTACAACTGATCAATAGAGAAAGGGATCAAGTACATAATCTGCTCCATGCATGGGGGCACAGGGTTAGAGATCCCCTTGGCATCTACTGTTCTAGCTCTGCAGAGGAGATCCTTGACATATTTTGTTTGGGACAATACTATGAAGAACCGATTCTGACACGGCGTTTTCGATACGTTCCCGACACGGGAAGTTGATATGTTACAAAAAAATAAAAAATAAATAACAGAAGCAAAATTAATTACAGCAGTTAATTACAAATTAATATGGACAATGAAACAGCAAAAAAAAAGAGAAAAAATATACCTTACAGCTATTTTAATCTCTGTTTTTATGGTACATTATTAATGCTCTTTTATTTATTTTTTGGTAACAATATTAATGCACGATAAAAAAGAAAAATTGAGGATAAAGACAAACCGACAGAGAGAAAGGCACACACAACGCAAATTGAGAGAGAGGTAGATGCAGTTACAGACGGCGTCGAGGAGAGGAAAGATGCACGAAGCCAAGGAAAGGAAGAACAGCGACCGACTAGAGCAAGGAGGAAGAACAACGACAGCAGATAAGTGTCTACAGAGAGGGAGACCGAAAGAGACCGCCAGAGCAAAGAAGGAAGAATCGCGACCGCGTCGAGGAGAGGAAGAACAGCGACGGCGTCGAGGAGAGGAAGAACAAAGACGGCGACGTCGAGTTTGATTTTGATTTAGAGGAGAGCTCTAAGCGATTTCGATTTCGATTTCAATTTCAATTTAGAACAGGGACGACAGACACGTGCTTGAGTGTAGAAGGGCCGAAAAGGGCCGACCCAGTTCAAATACCCACTTCGTGAGTGTCTGGGGAAGGGAATACTCTAGGCAGTCTTTCCCCTGCTTTTTGCAGAGAGGCTGATTCGAACCCGCGACCTGACACACCACGGCAAGCAAGCTTACCGCTGAGCCAAGCCGGCCCTTCGTGCTTGAGTGTAGAAGTGAGTCAAATTTCGATTTAGGTTTTTTTGGCCAAAACCCTCAGTTAGAAAACACCCTTCATTTTTTTAAAATTCACAAACGTGACATTTGACCGTATCGAATTTGTTGACCCATCCGATACGTATGAATGAGTATCGAGAGTGTATCCGTCTGGGACGCATATCCGATATGTAGAAAAAAAAATTTGGGACGTATCTGTGCTTCATAGGGATAATAGAAGTATGCCATGAGAAAAAGGTTTAACCCCAATCCCTAGGAAATAATCCAAATTCCCTAGCTATTTTAGAGCAAATTTTGAGTGCAATTGATCAAAGAGGCTTTGAATCATGCCAGGATTGCTTCCGATGATAATAATATCATCCACATAGACTAAAATGTAGATGCAATTACCATTCAATTGAAGTATGAATAAAACGGGGTCACACTTGCAAGAGTAAAAGTCAAGTTAGTAGATAGAGTCCCCAGATTTCTCGAACCGGGGAGCTTATTTGAGGCCATAAAAGGCCTTTGCTTAAGTAGCATTACAAATGTTTTGTCAGCTGCTTCAAAACCTGGCGGTGGAGTCATGTATACTTCTTCCACAAGCTCTCCATTAAGGAAAACATCTGCATCAAAGGCCAGTGTAACACACTGATCTCACAGATTCAAGAATAAACCCAAAAACAGAGACAATTTCTATATATTTCTCAATCAACAGTATCAATTACAAGTAAACACCAACACCAAAACAGTATTAACCATGACTCTCCCTAACTACAGACCACAAAACAGATTGCAAAAATAAAGGAAAGAAAGATAGGTTCAGAGGAGTTGGAGAGCCCCTGATCTCTCCCAGAGAGCCTAAGTCCCAATTGTCCAAAGATCTCCCCACTCCTTCCACACTGCTCCCTATTTAACTGAATTCCCTAAATAACTTTCCCTCTATGATGAGTCAGCATAAAGGAATATTATTCTCGAATATTATTGTAGAATATTCTAGAGTTTTCTACTTGTTTCTAGCTACTTGTCCCTTTGAGTAGTGTGATGCCTCTTCGGTTACTGTGTATTTTATTTATTACTTCAACTCCTTAACTACCTTGTAATCTGTATATAAAGATCCCTTTGGGTGTCAATCAATATATGAAAAATACATTTCAGTCTTATATTTCATCATGGTATCAAGAGCAGGTTATCCTGTGGTCATCTTGTAAACCTCCACGTTTCCTTCCATTTTCCATTTTTCACTGTTTATTAAAATAACTCAGAAACCATATCTGGACCCTTCCAATCACGAAACCAAGGCCACCATTGGACTCAGAAGCCATTTTCGAGTCGACCCACGTCAACCCCGTCGTCGGAAAGTCCGCCACGCGCCGCCACTGCAGAACTGCCTCTCCGGCGCGTGTGAGCCACGCGCCGCCCTACCGGCCTCCGTTTGTCACGCGGCTTTCACAGAACGGCTCGCCTGGCCTTCCTCTTCCTGTTCTGGGGGTTTAAATCACGATTGGAGCACTCTTCTTGCTGGGTCCAGTTGGTTCCTCTTCGTGACTTTTCGGTTCTGAACGATTGGAGTTCCTTTTTTGTTTTTTTGTTTTTTTATTTTGAACAATGGAAGTTGAAAATATTGAGGCTGAGAATAAGCATTCTGAAAAATCATCCGGTAATATTTCCGGTGTCTTTCCTCTTCCCTGTTCTTCGTCTTCCGGAGACAACCCAGCTATACAGATTACTAACCACCGTTTAAACGGTAAGAATTATGAGCAATTTCAGAAGGTGATGTCTCAATCTGCTGAGGCAACTAGTCATGTTGCTCAACAAGGTATGGCATTCCATGTTGATCATAGTAGTCGTTGGATTCTTGAATCGGGAGCTTCTGATCATATGACAGGTAATGCATCCCTGTTTTGTTCTTATACCCCTTATTATCACCAGTCACGAATAAGGACTGCTGATGGTAGTTTCTCTAATATTGCGGGAAAGGGATCCATTAAGTTCTCTGAACATATTACTCTGAATTCTGTCCTTCATGTCCCTTCTCTTACTTGTAACCTTATCTCTATTAGTAAACTTTCCTCTGAATTGCATTGTGTTGCTAAATTCTCTGCCAAAACCTGTGTTTTACAGGAACAAGATTCGGGGCTGATGATTGGCAGTGCTAGAGAAGAAGAAGGGCTTTACTATTTTGAAGAAGATTCTCATGAAAAGAGATTTTTTTGCAAATCACTCTTTATGTTTATCAGACGATTGTAAT